TGGGTTGGAAGTGTCTTGCTCTCACCTGCTGACACAACTGAATTTTTTAAGTTAAAGTAATGTTTTATATTAAAACTCAACTTACAATGATATAAATCGCAGAAAAAATGAGCATTTGAAAAGCTAGAGCCAACAATTATTCATCACATAAGTTATATTTGTTTGACAAATCACTTAAAAGAATAATCTTCTGTCAAAATAATATTTTCTGCTTATCAACTACGGCCTAATCAGTCATTGAAACCCAATGATGATTTTTGTCGCCTCCCACAAAGACATCATCATCTAAAAGCTCGCGGATGACACCGCAGTGATAGGTCGCATCACTGGCGGGGGAAAAGCAGCCTACCGGAGGGGGGCGTTTCTTGAGCGGGGCTTTCGCCTCCACCACCATCCTGACTGTGTTACTGGTTTTCCTTGTGTGCATAAGGAGCAAGACACACAGCTGCCCTTGTATAGGTACAGTCATTAGTACTCTTCTTCTCATCTATATCAGTGAACATAGCATGACCTTAAGAACCAATTTTGGTTTTCAGATTCTCCAGCAACACTTTTCTCTTCCTCCAACACATATGCAAAGGTAAGATGTTTTTAAGATGAATGACTGTATTATTGTTATTCAAACATTCATACCACAACATTATTTGTGTTTCTGTCATGGACCACATTTGATGTAATGTATTGTTTTTCACATCCAGGGTTACCAAAGTGGAGACAACCTCTGTTACATTGCTTTAAGGGCGATTGAGATCACCAGATCCAAACAGAGGGACGACACCTGGAGTGACTGCGTGTACATTAATGTTAAGCTATAGAGCTGTTTCATTGGTGTCTCTATAGAATCAGACACAATTGTGTATCTCTGTTACAGTGAAAAAGAAAACTGAAACAAACAAATAAATGAATATTAGTTTAATGGGGTCTCTTCACAAGCAATGTGTCATATGAGCATCAGCAAAGTCACAAGATGTATAATTCTACTTTAAACTGGTCTGTGGTTTCCAAGTAAGGGTGCCTCAGATCATTCTCAGAAAGCCTCAGAGAGGTAGTCACATCTGCTTCAGAGTGCAGAAAGGCACTGCAGAGGTAAAAGGATATAATACAGGTGTTAGGATCGCTCGCCACAATTGTGAGCGAGCAGAAATGAACAGACCCAGGCGGCTGGCTTCGGTGCAATAGGTGGGTTTATTAACAGTGCTACAACAGGGGTGCAAGACTTGTATACAAAAAAATAGAATGAATGAATGAATATCACCGGGTGATGACCAACAGTAGTGGAGGGGTTATTGTCCATGGAGTGATGTGGTTGGGCTGCGAGGGAAGGAGACACTCCTGGGCTGGTCAAGGTGGAGATCCGGTTGACTGGAGAAGTAACAGAGAGTGAATGAATGAGGAGACTGTGCATCGACCTGTGAAGGTGGTTGGTGGAGCTGAGGAAGCCAAGGTCCAGAGGAGAGGTCCAGGTAAAACGACGGGAGACGCTAGAACTGAGAACATAAGAGGAAACAGGAGAACCATAGCACAATACGGGAGGCAAGGGAGGCTAACGACATAGAAAGAACCAGCAAGGGAGTGAAGGTAAAGCCGAGTATAAATAGGGAGTGACAAAGGAGGCGCAGCTGAAGAGTGTCAGAAAATCAGGACAGGTGTGTTAATCAAGAGAGTCAGTGAGAAGGAGCAGACTAGAGCGAGAAAGAGAGAAGAGAGGAAGGTGCAGCCGGGCAAACCTGACATTTACTGCCTATTTAGATTTGTGTTATTGCTCATCCACTATATATTTCACTTGTATTATGTGGCATTCATGTGGACAGCAAAGTAAGAATTTCATTGTACAGGGAAACACGTTTCCTAACTGTGCATATGACAAATAAACATTTTGACCTTTGCTCTTTTAGATCAGTTCACAGGTAGCCAAGGATGGAGCTGGGTCAGTGATGCTGATTCAGCAGGTTGTTGAACACTGTCGGACGCAGATGGAAAGCTGTGACGCAAATTATCAATTGTCTAAAAATACTACAAAAATGGAAAAAACATCTAACTCTATATTTGATCTCATGTAGCTTAACTTGAGAGGAAAATGAAAGTAAAAAAATAAGAAAAGAACTTGCTCGCACAGTAACTTAGGAAAACTTAGACACGAGGGGCAAAGCCTTGAAGTGAAGGATAAGACAAAGGAAAAGATTTGGTGTGGAAATTTAGTTGTAAGTTGTGAAGTTCTGCATCTTTTGTTTTAAAAGTGCCTTCTCCTTGAACAAAGGAGTGTTCTGGGTTTTTATACTCCATGGGGATGGTCATGTCTGGGGTGTTGTGCACACCCCAAGGGATCAGAAAACTTTTTAATTTTCACACATTAAAGAATACCACAGGGCATAATTATTACATTATAGCTCCTTCTCACCATAATCTTAATATGATAGTGTATGGAGTTATAACTCATATTCAGTGATTCATGAGGAAGAAAATAGTTATTCAATAATGACATACATTATCATCATCAAACATATAATTCACACACAAACAATTTTCTAATTATCTAATATATGTAAAACTTGTCTCTCTAAAGTAAAGTAGTTAGGAATGGTTAAGATATCATAGCAAAATAAGACTTTGGTTACATACAAAAGTTCTGTCCTGGATCAGAACTTGACAAAGTGAGGTTAAGGATGTTTAACACAGTATTAAAGTATACTCAGATGTGGGCAAATTCAAGTAAAACCAGAAATAAACATCCAATATTGTAAGCATCTAACATTTTAAGTTAGGGCATTTTCTCTGATAAAAATACCTTCAGTTACTAGGATGTAACTTGAGGTAAACCAGTTGCTGCAGTCACTTCTGGGATAATAAATCATTACTGATGACTTTGTGTTAGTCAAGAGTATACATATAATCAAAGGCATAACATCATTTCACTTACTTAATCTCAGAGATCACTGGGCAGGTTATAGGTCACATACAATGGGGCAATAAGGGCAATGTTGGTTGACAGAGAGCTTCCTTGAGAGGAGCTCAGGAAAGTATCCAGTTATGAATAAACTTTTCTGGGCTTCTGAACAAGATAGATAGATCTGATCTTCACAAAATAACATGAAATAACACTGGTATCAGTTAATCACAGCATTATAAAAGTTACATACTAAGTTTATAAAACAACTTTGAGATATCCTTATTTGAGCTGATTCACTCTCTGGCCTTATTGTGTGTGACTTTTCTGATTTCTTGGTCAATTTTATGCCTAGTTTTAATTATTGTGGATTTTAATATCCATGTCTGTTGTCCTGACAAACCTTTAGTTAAGGCTTTTTTAGACCTTACTGACTCTTTTAATCTTACACAATTTGTGGCTGGCCCCACCCATGAGCATGGACATACCTTGGATATTGTCCTATCTTATGGTGTGCCAGTTCGTGAATTAGAACTGCACCTTGTGCTACTCCGCAGCTTTGACGTACGTTTAATTCTTCCACTTCTGTTCAGTTCTCTGCTTTCTTTAGTGAAAATCTTGTAATTTCTGACTCTGTGGCCACACAGGAGCTTGCATTAGATTTTCACTCCACTTGTCAGGCTGCCATTGATGCGGTGGCACCACTGAAGGTTAGGCGGCCTAGGGCTAAGTTTGAGCCCTGGTTAAATGAAGTGTCCCATGCTGCCAGGTGCGAGTGTCGCAGAGCTGAGCGCAGGTGGATAAAAGATAAATTACAGGTATCACTTCAGATTCTAAGAGACTTTTGGCATCATTACCAGAAAATTGTGAAAAATCTTAAGAGAAATTATTTCTCTAATATCATTCAGTCAAATTGTCATAAGCCTCGTGTTTTGTTTAAGGTTATTGATTCAATTTTGAATGTTCCTCAGGTTGCTTGTGTTCTCCTGCCTTTTGTCAAAAAATTTTACATTTCTTCAATGACAAGGTTCTCTCTACTAGAGCTCAAATTTGATCTCCTGTTTATGATTTTCCTGTTTCTCTTTCCTGCTCTGCTGTTTTTTGATCAGTTTGAGTGTGTGTCTTTGTCCCGTTGCCAGGAGATTGTTGGGCGTTTGAATACCCTCTGGCTCTCCAAAAGATGCTATTCCTCCTCGATTTTTAAAGGAGATCTTTCCAGCTGTGCGGCCAGTTTCCCTTTCTATTATCAATAGTAGTTTATCTGCTGGGCTGGTCCCAAGGAATTTCAAACACACAGTGGTGCAGCCATTGATTCAGAAACCTGGTCTGGATCCCACAGTGCTTGCTAATTTTAGGCCAATCTCTAATCTACCATTCCTTTCCAAAGTTCTTGAGAAGATAGTTTACACTCAGTTACTGGCTTTTTTGGTAGAGCATAATATTCTTGAGACTTTTCAATCAGGGTTTAAGACCCTGCACAGTACTGAATCAGCTTTGGGTTAAAGTCTTAAATGATATTTTTCTTGCCACCGACACAGGGAACTGTGTTGTCCTAGTGCTCCTTGACTTGACTGCTGCTTTTGATATGGTAGATCACAGTATTGAGGAGAAAGCCCTGTCTTCCTTCACTGGTACAGCTCCCAGCCACTGGTTCCGCTACGTGGATGACACATGGGTTAAAATCAGGACCCAGAAGGTAGAGGCTTTCACCAAGCATATCAACTCTGTGGATGGCAACATCAAGTTCACTCGTGAGGATGCCAGAGATGACTGTCTGGCCTTTCTGGATTGTGTAGTCCACTTGGGAGGGGACAGAAGCCTGAAAGGTAGAAGTATATCAGAAACGTACACACACGGACCAATACCTGCTTCTTGACTCACACCATCCACTTCAACACAAACTGGGAGTCATCAGAACTTTAAATCACAGGGCAGAGGAAGTGCCCACTACTGCAGAAGGGGCCAAGAAGGAGAAACTACACATCCAGAACTCCCTTAGGGCTTTTGGATACCCTAAGTGGGCCTTCACCAAAGCAAGGAAGAGGCCCAACACCAACAGGGAGAAACCAGAAACAAGAGGGGATACCACTGTCATCCCTTATGTGACTGATTTATCAGAGAAGTTAAAAAAGGATATTTCACAACCACAATATCCCAGTTAACTTTAAACCAGGGAACACCCTGCGGCAGAGACTGGTCCACCCGAAGGACAAAACACCCAGACATAAAGAGAGTGATGTGGTGTATTCAATTAAGTGTAGTCAGGAGTGTAATGACTTGTACATTGGTGAAACTAAGCAGCCGCTTCATAAACGCATGGCCCAACACAGGAGGGCCAACTCCAGTAGACCAGAGTCAGCAGTCCACCTCCACCTGAAGGACAAAGGACATTCTTTTGAGGACAGTGAAGTCCAGATCCTCTCCAGAGAACATTGCTGGTTTGATAGAGGAGTTAAGGAAGCTATTTTTGTAAAAACAGAATACCCCTCACTAAATAGGGGTGGTCGACTAAGACAACTTGTCATCCATCTACAATCCTGTTTTGAGATCTCTGCCCAAACATTCTCACCAGGACAATAGGCGTCGGTCAACAGGGAAGGATTCAAAGACAGGTAACGACTCTCACCGATACTGGGCTATAATGACTCAGTCGTTAAGGGACATTGTTGGCCTTCAAAGGACTGAAACACCACCGAGGGGGATAAATATCTCCGGTTCAACACCAGTCAGTCAGAACTGATGAAGCCTCTTGGATGAGAGGTGAAACGTCTTTGACCTAGAAATCTAGTCCAGTTGATTTTTTCTAAGTTTTTTTTCAGACCACAGTATACTTATTTCTCATTTAGAGCACTGGGAGGGTATTCGAGGTATAGCTTTAGAATGGTTTTGGTCTTACCTTAAGGATAGAACCTTTTGTGTGAAACTTGGTGATGCTATGTCTTCTTCTGAGCCCCTTTTGTATGAGACTCCACAAGGCTCGGTTCTTGAACCCCTTCTTTTTTCTCTTTACCCCCTCCCTCTTGGCTCCAAACTCTGGAAACACGGCATCTCCTTTCATTGCTACGCAGATGATAGCCAGTTTTATTTACCGGTTAAAAACACAAATTCTTGTGTTAGGCCACTGCTTGAA